CCTCAGCGTTTCCTTCCCCCTAGCCTCTCTCTTCAGTTTCTCCTCTTGTTTCATTTTGGTTGCTTGAGTTTATAAGCAAAGCAGCTGCCTGAGTGGGGAAGAGCTGCTCCATTGATGATCGTGGTTTATAGTTTGCTGAATGTAAGCCTGCCTAATCCTTTCGTATCATTGGATTACCATCCCCAAGCAAATTTTCCCAGCTTTCATCACGAGAATGGGCTCCCTGCCAAGAAAGCACTCACCCAGCTCAGTCCACCTGGCTCTTCCCTGCAGTCCTCCCCATCCCAGGCCATTAAAAGGGCTTTCAGGCTGAATATTTGCACAAGCATTTCTCCAAGTCAAAGACAAAGTCTTTGTTCCATAGGTTCCCCAACGTCTATGCAAAATTCTTTTCTGAATTATCATCAGAAAGAGAGAAACACAGCCTTGGATGACCATTTCATCAGTTTTCCCTTAACCACATCTAATTATAAAAATTAGTTTTTATTATTTAATTTTAAATAATACTCAAGGTCAGATCCGAGGATTTAGAGAAAACTATACAGTTTTTAGCATTAATGCCACTCTACAGGTGGCTGCATCTGGAAATCAGGTTTAAAAAGCCATTCTGGAATTCCTGAACACTTCATAAACTCCACATCAATTAAAGTTTTAACCGATTAAAAAAATGTTCATGGCTATTTGCTGCCTAATTCCCTCCACAAGCCTACAGAAGGGACCTTCTTGGATTTCAAAGGGAAAGGGTTCTTTGTGACAGCAAAACAGAACAAGGGGTTTGATTCACACACACACACACACACCTCCGTCAATCACATCTAATATTCTGAGCAAGTATAAACTCTCTCACAGGGCCAGGACAATAGCACCTTGCCACTTGATCACTGATTGCGATTCTGCCTCAGCTAAATGTTAACAACGGTAAGGCAGCAATTGCGGCAGGGTGCTTGCTCAAAGAGCCCCTTTCATACTCAGGCACCCAGACTCAAGGGATTTAAGGGCCTAAGGGTTGCAGGCACTGTGCAAGCAAATGCCCAGAATTCCACTTGAAGCACCGAATCTGTTAGAGTACTCTGAAAATCAAAGATTCTTCTGCATAGTTCCCACCTTTACACAAAGCTTTCAAGAACGTACACTTAAAAGCAAAACGCGGAGTAGATCGCCATAGCTACTGTAGCCTCTCCTTATCCAGAGAGAACACATCCCAAGATCACCAGGGTGTGCCTGGAACCACAGATAGTAGTGAACCGTGTATGTACTGTGTTTTTACTATATATGCACATCTATAATGAAGCTTAATTTATAAATTAAGCCCAGTAGGAGGTTAGCAACAACAGTGGTAAAATAGAACAATTGTAACAGATAGTCTAATAAAAAATATGAGCATGTGGTCTTTACTCTTTCAAAATACAATTTTGGTTTTGCTTTTAAGTGTGTGGGTTTCACCCTGTTGAGGACAGCTGGTATTATTGAATGCCCTAGATTATTGTCACATAATACCAGAGTTAATCCGTCCTTGGAGATTTTATGCCCCCTTGCTTCCTTTATACCTTTTTTTTTTTTAGATTTATCTATTTATTTTCATTTGAAAGACAGAGTTACAGAGAGAGAGGTAGAGACAGAAAGAAAGGTTTTCCATCTGCTGGTTCACTCCCCAGATGGCCGCAACAGCTGGAGCTGCACGCATCCAAAGCCAGGAGCCAGGAGCTTATTCCAGGTCTCCCATGTGGGGGCTGGGGCCCAAGGACGTGGGCCATCTTCTACTGCTCTCCCAGGCCATAGCAGAGAGCTGGATTAGAAGAGGAGCAGCCGGGTGTCAAACAGGCGCCCGTATGGGATGCCAGCACTGCAGGCTGGAGCTTCAACCCTGTTACGCCACAGAGCCGGCCCCAGCACTTTTTTTTTTTTTAAGATGTTTTGTTTATTTATTTGAGAGGTAAAGTTACAGACAGTGAGAGGGAGAGACAGAGAGAGGTCTTCCATCCCAAATAGCCACAATGGCCAGAGCTGGGACGAACTGAAGTCAGGAGCCAGTAGCTTCTTCCGGGTCTCCTACACAGATGCAGGGGCCCAAATGCTGGGACCGTCTTTTACTGTTTTCCCAGGCCATAGCAGAGAGCGGGATCGGAAGAGGAGCAGCCAGGACTGGAACTGGAGCTCACATGGGATGACAGCACTGCAAGTGGAGGATTAACCTACTACACCACGGTGCCGCCCCCTCCTTTGCACTCTTATGAATGTAGGTTGTTTAGGGCATCTTCATCCAGAAAAGTCTGGTTTCATCACAACTGAAGGCTTGTCTGGGATGGTACCCTTGCTCCTTAGAGCTCTTCAACTGTACTGGAAGTGTGGCAGCAGCTTCTCCATCGGCAGATTCAGCCTCTCTGGGAGTTTTTATATTTTTCAACCCAAACTGATTCCTGAATCCAAGAAACCATCCCTTGTTTAGAGTAAATGGGTGGGGGTCCCTGATGTCAAGGGATGCCTTTGTTCAGGCTCAATGCTTTCATACACAGAGCACATGGCCTTCAATGAGAACATGTATTCTGTTCATGTCTTCCACTTATAAACTTAACGTCTTTTCCATCTTCATGAAGCACTTATCTCACACTATATCCATAATTTTTGCAGTTTGAGAGATGACAGCAAAACTAGTACTGATATCTTTTTCTTTTTCACAATTTCACAGTAGCATTGCCATTACTGTAGCTCTTAGTGACTTCAGCTTATGCTTTTTTTCTTTACTAATGAAGTTGAGAACGTTCACTTTTTCACTTTAAAGAAGCAGTTTATGACTTCTCTCCAGTTTATCCAAATTGCCAGCATCACTATTCTTGTGCTTTGGGGCCATTATTAAATAAGATAAGGGTTCCTAGAATACAAGCACTCTGATAACTCCACAGATGAGCTGTGACTAAGTGACCAACAGGTGGATAGGGCAGACAGCATGGATACACAGGACAAAAGGATGATTCTCGTCCCAGGTGAGATAGAGTTGGACAGCATGAGATTTCATTATACTACCCAGAACCAGGCACAATTTAAAACACATAAGTTGTGTATTTCTGGAATTTTCCATTTAATATTTTTTGGCCACAGTTGACTTTGGGTAACTAAAACCAGGAAAAGCAAAACCACAGATAAGGAGGAACTACTGTATGTTATTGATTGACTCAAACCCGGCATATCAAAAGTGTCGAGAAAGAACACAATTTGGTGGCTCACAGCCTCCTTCATTCACAGTTTCCAGCCTTTCCATGGCTTTCTAGAGTTTCCAGAGACAATGGAGGTGGCAGGCTTCCCCAGCCTCCCCTTTTACCCCTCCCCCTCTGAACTGCCCCTCCCTCCCCTTCCCCCAGGCTTCCAGAAGTCAGTAGGCAGGAAGGTCTTGCAACTCATTCTCAATAAGATAGTGCTTCCAAAAAGGAAAAAAAGCCAAAAAGACAATGCCTCTGGTTTAAATAAAGCAACCCAGAGGAGGCAGAAGCTTGAGGAAAGTTAGGAAATGCCTTGTTCTTTGGTGGTTGACACTATATCTTCTTAGTATAAGTTCCTTCAAGACAAGGGACCATATATTTTATGTAAAGTCAAGGGTGACACCTAACAAATGCAATGTGCTGATAAGCTCAACTGGAACTCAACTTCCATTCATAGAAATAGCTTTGGCTTGCTATGAGCTCACACTCCCAAGTTTCATTTTGCATTTCTGGGCTCATCACACATTCAGATTCAATGCTGAAAGTCAAAGTGAAACCCCCTGTGAAGAAAACCACACTGATTTTACCTGCTTTAATGTCAATATTTTGAGAAACCCTGACAATAAATCAAATGAGTTCACTCCACATTTGCCTTTTGAAGTATATAAAATACCTCCCCCAAAGTGTCAGGAAATTTGCCTGGATTCAAAACTGTTCCCCAAGGCAAGGACTTTAAATGAGGTGAAAAGCTGTCAGACTGATCTAAAAATGTTTTTAAAAAACCCTGCCTGAATGCCCTTTTTATCCTTTTGTTACTAATAATTTTTAAAATATTTAATAATTTTTAATGTTTTCCCATTTTCACTTTAAATGTAGATATTATATACAAACACATATATACCATCATTTCTTGAAAGCAGGGATATCAAAATCACAAAAATGTGGGGTTCATGTCAATTATCATAATGTCATCATACAGAACACTTCAGGAATTTGAGTGTCCTCCTTGTACCAGGGCTGTGCTCATCTTTTCTGTATTGCTCCAATGTTAGTAAACATGTTGCTGAAATGAACCCGCCTGGATGGCTTATCTCACTCGCGTATTCAATGGTTGAGAGCAGAAAGAGCGAGGGACTTGGAAATTTAAACCTAGAGCAGGTGCTTTGTGAAAACTTCAACACACTGAGTTCCTCGGAACAAAGACCAAAAGTAACTATGCAAATATCTCTGTTAATATGCCTACAATAACACTGTCAACAGAAGACAGAAGTAGAGAAACAAGCCAAAGAATGAGAACCTATGAGGAAAGAAGAAGAAAGCTGGAGAGGAAAAAAGATACAAAGATGGATTTCTTTTTTATCCATTTCTAGAACAGGTGGAATTCTCACCTGTTATTGAAATATGTCTGATTTGGAATTTTCATTCAATTTGAATATTTGAATCAGATTTGGGGCTGATTGGGTCTGGCCAGTTTATCTGTAGCCCGAATTTGTCGGGTCCATTTCCCTGGGGCTGTGTTCATCATACCTGAAAGGCATCCTTTGGTGCTTTTCTGTCTGTCACCCTGAAAGAATAGGACGGGGCCACCCCAGGTTTCGAAGAAAAGAGTAGAACTAGGAGAAAGCCACCGAGCAAGGAAGGTACACATAGCAGAGCAGGAGTGACCAAGTAAATGACTAGGGTCTCAGTCACAGAGCTGAGTCAGGTGTCAACAGGTTGGTCAGGAAGGCTGAGAGCAAAAACAAGATGGAGTTGTGGGGAACACGGGGACAGTTGCTAGGAGATGGTCTAAACTACCCACTGTCATCTGCTGGAATGGGGAGGAAGGGGACAGAGCACCCTATTCGTGCTGGTGAGTTGTTCACTGCTAACTACGTAATGCAACCCATCTAACCCCCAAACTCAACACCTGGCAATCTTAAGGCCTGAAAGTCCTCACCTTTGAATACTTTGCCATCCTCCTTTTTCTTTTTTTTTTTTCAAATGATTTATTTAATTAATTATTTGAAAGGCAGAGTGACAGAGAGAGAGATATCTTCCATCTGCTGGTTCACTCCTCAGATGCCCGCAACAGCTAAAGCTGAAGTCATCAGCCCAGAACCCCATCTGGGTATCCTATATGGGTTGAACTTGGGCAATTCATTCGTTGCCTTCCCAGGCACATTAGCAGGAAGCTGTATCGAAAGTGGGGTAGGTGAGACTCAAACAACTATCAGATATGGGATGCGAGTATACCAAGCAGTGACTTATCATGCTATGCCACAACACCAACTCCTAGCTTCTTTTTAAAAAGAAAATGATAGCCCTGGGCTTTAGTTTCTCTCTTCACTGATAAAATTCAAAAGGTCCCAACTGGGTATTCCATGGAGGTGCGGATGAAAAGTAACGAGTGGTTCATTTCTCCCACTCTACTGTGTTGCTGGGTTACTAATCTAGCCCTCACTGGTGATGATTTTCCTGTGGACAGTGGCTTCTCTCTCTCTCTGCTCAGGGCCTAGCCAAGTGGCTGGCATTAGATAAACAGCTGAGTGCCCAATTCAATGAAGAAGTGGAAGAATGGTTGTACCATTTGACACTTGCAATGTGAAAGGTCTCCAGATAGGCTTGAAGCATTTGTCCCCTGAGTCAATTAGACACCATCAGTCTCCAGGAAGCCCCACGAGTGCCATTCTTATGGTCAATTTGTCTTCCGCAGAATGAAAGTAGCTGTTGCTTTTCTGGAAACATAGGAGGAAGCATCTGATGGGCTGCCCTTCTTACTGCCTTTTTGCCTACATAACAAACTCATCTCTCTTTTTTTTTTCTCAAAACATATAGTGTATCTGTTTCCAAGCTGCAAAGAAACCGTTGAAAATTAAACCACAGAACAGCATTTTAATGAGAACATGATTACCTAACACCCCACTGTGGTTTCAGATGGCGTTGTGCCAACCTTCCAAACTGCTACCAGAGCTCAGTTAAGAAAAAAAAAAAAAAAGTAGAAGTGGGGGCGGGGGGAGTGATTAGCATCCCCTTAGCAAAGGTAGCTTTCTTGGATGACTTCCAAAAAGATCTCTCTAGAAGGGCCAGGTTATTATTGGCACCTACAGTTGAAGAAAAATTTCTTCCTGTTTTCAAATTTTGAGAGAGAAAAAAAGCAGGGTGTGGGGGGGGATACCCTTGAACTAGTACATGATGTCCTGAGCTAGGTGTTTGCAGCACCAGAGTTCTGCTGTGAGTGACATACCCAACACGGCTGATCTCATCAGCTCGCCTGCTGCGCACTCCCTTGCTATTTTTGTAGCCTGAGTAGCAGGACCGCAGGTGCTGGTACTACAAGGTGGAAGCTCCACTGGCACTCAGAACACAGCCCCAGAGCGCTCTGTTCCTGTTCTGTTTGAAATGACCTGCGCCTGGTACTGAGCAGAGAGAAAGAGACAGAGGCACTGAGCCCACCTGGGTGATTTCCCAGGAACACCCTTTCCCTGGTCTCCAACCAGCCCAGCACTCCTGCTCTAGAGACTGTGGTTTCATTTCCACTTTGGGTTTCCTGAATTAACCCCTGAAGTGCCGTCTGCAGCTGCCTTCTGTCAGTTCAGTGACAGCCAGGTGGCCCTGCAAGGCTGCAGGAAAAAGTGAACCACAGGGCTGGACGCAACCACTTGACCCATCACCTGCTGCCTCCCAGGGTACACATTAGCAAGAAACTGTGGAATCAGGAGAAGCACCAGGACTCAAACCTGGGCACTCCGGTATGGGATGTAGGGGTCCCAAGTGGCATCTGTAACTGCTAGGCTGAATTCTTGTCCCCTGCATAATCTTTTAATTCTATTTTCCATTAACTTCTTGAACTCCCTCATGGGAGCTGATACAGGAAGATGCGGACTAGCATAAGTGCGATGAGAAGCAAAATGCTCTCTCTCTTCACTCCCTTCACCTGGTTGATTCCCACTGACTCATTTGTCAGAGTGTTGAGGTTGCCTCTTGGGAAGTCTACCAAGTTGGGCGCTGCTGGACCGTGAGTGTCTCTGCGCTTGTCTGGGTTCCCATGAGCTGCGTGAGGCAGGTTCCCGGTCAGCCTGGTGCACAGCTGTTTCGCCCTGCCTTTGTGCCTAGGACGTGGTTGGTGCTCAGCAAATGTTGGTGGAATAAAGGAGCTGAACATCTATCAGGAAGGTGTAGCTGGGATGTGGGGTGAGAGGAGGGCTCTAAAATGGAAAGGATTTGTAGTAGAAGACAGCTCAGAAACGGCTGGATAGCACCTCCTCATTGGAAACCACGGCAGTCTGTGCTGGTGGGAGGTCAGCGAGGTGACCCTCATGGGTGTCACAGCGGCCTTTGATGAAGAGGAGCAGGAAGGTCCTTTTGGGCCAGTTAGGTGAGGCCAGGTTCTGGAAGGTCAGTTATGCTAAAAAGATGATGACAACCCAAAAGAAGATGTGCCAAAAAAAAAAGAATTAGAAGAGAACATCCACACCACTAGAAGCCACTCGACAAATTACTAGGCTCAGTTTTAAAGTCCGATCTGGGAAGTATTTTCCTGCACTGGAAAAGCAAGCTGCCAATCTTCCTTCCAGTAGCTGCCCCACCCCCACCCCGCCGCCCCCACTTGACTCTGAAATGTTGACTGTCTTTCTCAACACCTGAAAACCCAGGCTGAGTTTCACCTTAGGAAAATGCAAACTAGTCAGCTGCACTGCAGAAAAAGCTGCTTGCAATCACAGATTTCTCTGAAGCACTGTGGTAATAAAGAGAATTGGAAAATGACCACTGACTCATTTCAGCTGATCAGGCAGGGTGACTGATGAACGTGGCAAGTGGGTGACCAAAGAAACCACTTCTCTTTGAGGACTCTTCTTACCTGAATCCCTTCACCAAAAGAAAAAAAAAAAAAAAGAAAAGAAAAAGGTCATCTAGGGGCCAACGCGGGTAAAGCCGCTGCCTGCAGTGCCGGCATCCCTTATGTGCTCAAGATTTGGCTGCTCCACTTCCAATCCAGCTCTCTGCTATGGCCTGGGAAAGCAGTAGAAGATGGCCCAAGTCCATGGGCCCCTGCACCCGCATGGGAGACCAGGAAGAAGGTCCTGACTCTTGGCTTCAGATCAGCCAGCTCCAGCCATTGTGGCCATTTTGGGAATGAACTAGTGGATGGAAGACCTTTGTTTTTCTGCCTCTGTCTCTGCCTCTCTGTGACTCTGCCTTCTAAATAAATTTTTAAAATCTAAAAAAATAAAAATTTGGTCATATTTCACTTGGGGGTTCTTGGCAGGCATTTATTAAAAGGAAAGGAGCTCTGAGAAGAACTATAATTGTCAACAGCACAGAGGGCTTGGTTTCTACTGCTTCTGGCTCATCCACAGGGTTCTTACAAGTGAAGGGCAAAGTATGGTAAGAAGAGGGGCTGAAGGAGGAACATAAAGTTATAAAGGATGGGACGGGCCGGCGCCGTGGCTCAATAGGCTAATCCTCCACCTTGCGGCGCCGGCACACCGGGTTCTAGTCCCGGTTGGGGCGCCGGATTCTGTCCCGGTTGCCCCTCTTCCAGGCCAGCTCTCTGCTATGGCCAGGGAGTGCAGTGGAGGATGGCCCAGGTGCTTGGGCCCTGCACCCCATGGGAGACCAGGAAAAGCACCTGGATCCTGGCTCCTGCCATCGGATCAGCGCGGTGCACCGGCTGCAGCGGCGGCCATTGGAGGGTGAACCAACGGCAAAGGAAGACCTTTCTCTCTCTGTCTCTCTCTCTCTCACTGTCCACTCTGCCTGTCAAAAAAAAAAAAAGGATGGGACTACAGGTATAATATAAATATAATATATATGAAAATATATAAATATTAATTTATATTTAATTATATTAATTTATGTTAAATTATATTAAATAATAAATATAATATATATGAAAATATAATATAAATATAAATTTTTGTCCTTTCATAGCAATCTTCTGTCTCAATTAATATACATATATAATAAAATATAAATATAAATAAAATATGCTGACACCCCCATACAAGAGGTGGAAAGTGCAGCTTGCACACAGCTAACTGTTGCATAAAACACAGCAAGCATTGAATGTCAATTCAAACCATGTTAGCAAGATATTGATTTAAAATAATGCAGCTGGCATTGTGGTACAGTGGGCTACGCTACTGCTTACAATCCCAGCATCCCACATGAGCACCAATTTGAGTTCTGGTTGTTCCACTTCCAATACAGCTCCTTGCTAATGTGCCTGGGAAGCAGCAAAAGATGGACAAGCACTTGGGCCCCTACCATCCACATGGGAGAGCTGAGTGAAGTTCCAAGCTCCTGGCTTCAGCTGGCCCAGCCTTGGCTCTTGTGGCCTTTTGGGGAGTGAACCAGTGGATAAAAAATCCTCTCCCTGCCCCCCCCCAACACTGTATATGTGTGTGTGTGTGTGTGTGTGTGTCTTTCTCTCACCTTTCAAATAAATAATAAATTTTTTAAAAATAAAAATAAAGAAATACCAGGAAAAAGAGGGGCTGGCATAGAGAAGAGATTCCAGTTGTCAGTTAGCTATCAGGTAGTCCTGAACTCTCGTTGGAGCCCTCTACTCCAACCCAGGGCACACTGGGTAGAACAGTGTGACTCATTGCTATATAGGACTCCGGTACCAGCTCATAATAGTCCCCAGGGAAGACCACCTGGGATGACAGGTGTAAGAGACCTCACCAGGCTGCCCTGCAGGCCCAGATGGCATGGTGCAGGGCAGCAAGGCCACTTAAATAAGAATATACCACATGATGGGCGCTTCTGTAAGAGCCATCCCTTGAGAGAGTCCATCTGGAAGTGGATTTGAACTTCTAAGTGGAACCTCATACAGTCCAAGTTCCAGTGATCACAAAGATCCCTGTGATGTGCACTCTTCAGAGACCAGGCAAGAGACATGGGGGTAGGGCTGTCACATGGTGAACAGCCCTGTTGACATCCGTAGCAGCGCAGCTGTGAGAAATGGGTAGCTGTTATCTTCTAGTTCACCATCAGCCTCTGGGGGGCCCCAGGGAGGAACATACTTGCTATGGGACACTTGCTCAAAGCCCCTTGGCTAGTAGGCCCATGTTCCTAGGAAGGATGGAGGAACTGAGGGTGGCACAAGCTCTTAAGCAGCACTGCCCTGCTTCTAGCAACGTCTATCTCCTGCCACTGGGTTCCCGCCTATTTCATGTTTGCAATCTCAGTTGTGGGTTCAAGGTCATAACTGTCTGTCCCTCCTCAAGAGGGACACACCCACCGTTCCCTGGTTTCATTTGTACACTGGGGTTCCAACTGTCACTCTTCAGCCAGAACATTGGTTTCACTTCCCTGGGCCTTAAATCGCTGGTTTTTGAAATAGAGATCTATCTACCCGGGTGGATGTGAGAAATAAAAAAGGGGGCGTAAACAAAGCCCACAGGAGGCGCACCACGAAGCGGTTCACGCATTAGTGAGCACCTCACAAACAAAATCATTGTAATGAAGTATTTTTGTCCTTTCATAACAGTCTTCTGTCTCAATTCTGGTTGACATCAGAATCATCTAGAGCATTTTTTAAAAACGCAAATACTCAGTGCCCCATCCCAGTCTGGCCAAAGCAGAAACGCCAAGGTTGAATACTAATGATCTGAATCTGACCTAGTATAAGTAGCCTGTTGTGTGAGGATTAAAGTCAAGCAAATGCTCATCCCTCCAGGAGTTTCCATGAGGGATTCCTGTCCAGGGAAAGGTAGGTTTAGGGAAATTAAAAGTTCTCTCACAAATACAGCCCTCTTATTTGCTTGGTTCTTGGTTTGTAGCTCCCTACTGCAAGATGAGTAGTGATCCATGTACAAAGACATATTTCGTCCATCACCCCATTCCATGCTGGTCCTCTCTCAAGCCCGTCTCTCTGACAGCCCAGAGGGCTATGTCCGGTCACTAATCGAAAACTGTACTCTCTCCGGGGCACTCTTTCCTCAGCCAAACATGAAGATCACTTTTAATAACCACAAAGTTTCATGAACCACCAGATGGAAGCTGGTCAAGCTGGTAGTATCTATCGACACTCTTAAAACATACACAAAAAAACAAAGACAAACTCTTAACAAATTCAAGACATTTCAAATAGATTCAGTATTTTATTCATCACAACAACACCCTGATGCTTCTGACAAACTGTAGCACATTGTTTATTTGGTGTGCTTTAAGATTTGGCATTTGGGAATATATGTACCCTTTGCAATAACTTCCTTGGGACTCCTCTCTTCACAGATTGTACCACCCTGTCAGTGTCCAAGGTCAGTGGACCACTCAATTGCCCTAACTTGCTGCTATACGGTAAATATCACCCCTGAAATACAAATTGTGGAAAAGCAGTGCTAAAGATGAGCCACTGGTGAGTAATCAGTGGGCTGGAAATGTGTTGTGAGACCATGAAGGAAAGAGAAAATGGATCTGAAAGCAACCTTTTCCCATAATAAGTTATATCTAAGGTTGGCCAAGAGAAACTTGTACTTTGAGAACCTAAATCAGATGCTCAAAAGTAGACCAGCAATTGTTACAATAGAGTAAAGGTTTAGAGGAAATAGGTTCCTATTTTCTTTAATATGATTGTGACACAGAGCTGGTGCTGTGGTATAGTGAGTTAAGCTGCTGTCTACAGTGCCAACATCCCCTCCAACATCCCCTAAGTGTGCCGGTTCCAGTCCCAGCTGCTCCACTGTCAATCTTGCTCCCTGCTAATGCATCTGGGAAAGCAGTAAATGATGGACTAAGTAGTTAGATCCCTGCACCCAGCTGGGGGACCCAGAGGAAGCTCCTGGCTCCTGGCTCCTGGCTTCAGCCTGGCCCAACTCTGGCCGTTGCAGCCATTTGGGGAGTGAACCAGTGGATGGAAGATTCTCTCTCTCTCTCTCTCTTTGTCTGTCTGTCTCTCTCTCTTTCTGTAACTCTGCCTTTCAAATAAATAAATAAATCTTTCAAAAAATATTATGGCACAATTTATAAGCAAAGCCACAGTGTAGAGCAAGTTATTTTCAATGTTCAGGTAAAAATTATTCTTGAAGTTAAGGAGCTCTGAAATTATTTCAGATGTCTAGAGTATGACATTCCGATAATGTGCCCAATTGGGAGATGAGGGGTGTGGTGGCCGTATGGCCTCCCTGTGAAGCTCAGCTCCTTTTCCATCTCTGACATAGATCTTCCCCTGAGGCACACTGGTTTGAAATCACTTCCTGTCTGAATTCAAACCTGGTCAATTCTGGAGGTCTAAGAATAGTGGCTGCCATCAACCTGTTCCATCAAATAAGTAAATGTGAAAGCTGCAGATGACTGAATGTGGATTGTTATTATATCACAGATGTTGGCTAGAATTTTTAAGTTCCATAGGACATTTGCTTCCATCTTTTTTTCTTTTTTCAAAGATTTATTTTATTCATTTGAAAGACAGAGTTACGGAGAGAGGTAGAGACAGAGAGAGAGGTTTTCCATCCGCTGGTTCACTCCCCAGACAGCTGCCACAGCCGGAGCTGTGCTGATCCAAAGCCAGGAGCCAGGAGCTTCTTCCAGGTCTCCCACGTGGGTGTAGGGGCCCAAGCACTTGGGCCATCTTCTACTGCTTTCCCAGGCCATAGCAAAGAGCTGGATCGGAAGAGGAGCAGCTGGGACTCGAACAGGCGCCCATATGGGATGCCGGCGCTTCAGGCCAGGGCTTTAACCTGCTGCGCCACAGCACCGGCCCCTTGCTTCTTTCCTTCTGCCTTTTCTCTGAAGCTCTTAGCCTCGACCCAGCACCAACTGATATTGAATAACCACATATCGATTTGCTTTGATCTAACAAAATGCCCTACCCAACAAAACCAGCACTGGATCTGACCTTGCCCAGATAGAGACCTCAAGAGTTTAAGGTAAGGGTCTTGAAATCTATGATTATTTTTTGTCTACCAACTTTGCCACCTTTGATGATTATCATTCAGATGTGCAAGGAGATGAAGTCACCTCAATGACATCAGTCACAGGATGTCACCGTACTGCACATAATGCCCACATTTGTTGGTTAAGAAACCAACTCTGAAAAATAAAAGGGTAAGCCCTCAGAAAAATAAAATGGTGTCTTCAGATTCTCTCTAAACAGCATCTTCTTGCCTCTAAAACAGGCTCTCCCTTGATCTCCACTTATCATACCCTAATGAAAATTTGTTCCCTGACCTCCTCCTTCTTCCTCAACCTCTTATCAGTGAATTGCCGCATGTTGGTTCTCCAAGATCTCTTCTATTCCTTGGCCTCCTTCCAGTTCCCACCACTATCTGGCTGGCCCAGACCTTTGCAATCTCCTACCTGAACAAGCAAGGTTTCTCCCTGGTCTCTTCACCTCAGCTTTCTCCTTCCAATGCATTCAAAAATCCAATTAATTATTCTAATGCTAAGCTCCAACCACAAAAATTCAAAATCTTCAGTTTTCCTATTGCTTGATGGAATAATATCCACACCTTTTAGACTTGCCTGTGAGACCATCTGTGCTTTGGCCTCTATGTTCCTCCCCAGACAGGATTCCAGTCAAACTGCCTGATCCATATTGGTCCAAACTTCTATTGTGTTTTATCACTTCATCCTCCTTGCTGCCTACATCTTTATGGGTCAAAACCCCACTGATTCTTCACATACATCTCCTATGTGAAAAGCCCCCTCTTGACCTGATGAACCTTGCTTGTACTCCACCTACACAGCCCATCTTGCTCCGGCTTATATCACATCACTTGTGTTCCCACCTGATCTCCCAAACCGGACTTAGCTTCAGCCTAAAAACTAGGGGCCAGTGCTGTGGCAACTAAAATCTAGGGGCTGATTCTGTGGCATAGTGAGTAAATCCGCTGCCTACAATGCAATCATCCTGTATGGGCACTGGTTTGAGTCCTGGCTGCTCCACTTCCAATCCAGCTCCCTGCTAATGTGCTTGGGAAAGCAGCAGAAGATGGCCCAAGTGCTTGGGCCTCTGCATCTACATGGGTGACTAGGATGAAGTTCCTGCCTCCTGGCTTTAGCCTAGCCCAGTCCTGGCTATTGTGGCCATTTAAGAAGTAAACAAGCAGATGGAAGTTTGCTCTCTCTCTCTCTCTCTCTCTCTCTAATAACGAAGCAATATTTTTTTTAACACCAAATGCTATTCATTTAGTATCTGGAAACAGTGCTTGGCAGAGCTCTGGGTGTTTAGCTACTCATTCAGTTAATGGAATGAAGAAGGAAGGAAAGAAAAAAAAGAAGGAAAGAAGGAAGGGAGGGAAAGGGGGAAGAAGAGAGGGAGAGAAGGAAGGAAGGGGGTGGAAGGGAGGGAATGAATAAGCCTTAGAAATAGAAGAGAAGGAAATCAGAATAGGCTAGAGAGAGCAAGGAGACAAGTCCCTGAAGGAGAAGGCAGGTTGTAAAGATAAATGAAAATGAAATGCTAGGGGACACATCCAAGGTAGTGTGAGAGTTATGTGAAAATCTCCCTCACACAAGAGAAGCTAAACCTCACCATCCACCTAGATTTTCACCTATGGCAAACTCTACCACCTATTGCCACCCCCACTTCAGGCCAAAAATTGGGCCTGAATGGGTAGAATGGGTAGAATCTCATCTTCATCTAAAGTAGATTTCATTAAGACATCTGATCTTTGTAATAATTAACTTTTAACTTTTTAATTATTCTGGATGGTTTTCATATCAATAGCAACTCTGCATAATAAACAGTTACTGGAACTTCCTGATAGATGCCTTACACCTCGAAATCTGGTAAGCTCCTCTTTGTCACACTGCTGTCTCCCCTGCTGCTTGTTCACATTTCCACAGCCTGGGGGAAGCCACTGACTCCAGCTCCCAGAGCAGAGCCTGCTGCTGTACACTACCAAGTCTTTGCCTTAATGGTTCTCTGGGCAAAAGTCCTTCTCCACCCCTCAACATTTTCACCCCACATCCAGGTTTTCTCGGGGGAGATTCAGCGTAGCGTCACCGGAAGGGCTGTCTAGGGGCCTCCTCAGGAGTCTGAGAGTCTCTATCATGAGATACAGATGCCTGGTTTACTGTGGCTGCCTCGGTTTCCATGCAATTCTGGAAGATGAGCCCAGACCAGGGAGATTACAGGACCTACACCACTGCCTCTGGCTAGTGGAGAAACTCAGACACGTGCATGTACACATCTGCTCCCAGGGCTTCTCACCCCAGCAACTCAGAGCAGGGAGGGCTTGCATAGTAAAACCCACTTCCCTCACTCTCAAAAGATGTTTATATGTAAAGCAAAGTGGGGCGACAGAAGGGGGAGAGAAACACAGACTTTCTGTTGACTTATTTTTGCCAATTTCAGGTTCTTCTAGATGCTCCACACTCCCCTACTTCCAGCTATTTCTTACCCAGAGTTCATTCAACACATCTCATTCTGTTGCAAGAAGCAGGGGAGCCACAAAGGCATGGAGTGGGACATTGCAGACAACAGGTCTGGAGATCAGAGCATTCTAAGTGGTTCTTTCCGACTCAAGGGGGTGGGGGTGGGGAGAAACGGATTTTAAAGAAGGAAATGAAGTGTATAGTTTGAAAAAAATATACCTAATTAAGTATGTTTCATATTTGGGAAACAGCCTATTGTTTTCACAATACAAATTATAGGAAGTAAAGTTCTCTAGAATTCTCTTGAGTGCTGGAGAATGAACAGAAGAAATGTCTCTGTACACCTGGGCTTTCAAGAACCAAGCTAAGGTGGGCACATGGCCTAGTGGTGAGGATGCCACACCTCTCCTAGCAGAGGGTCTGGCTTTGATACCGCACTCTGCTCCTGACTCCAGCTTCCTGCCAATGCTCCCTGGGAGGTGGCAGGGATGGGTTTAATATTTGGGTTCTTGCCCCACATATGGGAGACCTGGAATGAGTTCCCATTTCTCAGCTTTGGCCCTGGCCATTGTGGGCACTGCAAGTGAACCAGCAAATGGGATTTCTCTTTGTCTATCTCCATCTCTCTCTACATCTCGAAAAAATAAGCACTAAATAAATACATAAAAGAAGCTAAAAACTCTCCAAGAACTTATTCCCAGGAGAGTCAAGGGTGGAGGAAGTGCTTGCCAGAGTCAGGGGTTCCCAGTTTCTAGACTGATCTGGGGACCTTCATTACATGAACCCTAGACAGAGAACAATAGAGAAATCCATGGTAGTGCCTCAGTGGACTTTCCTCTTTCTGATTGGAGGTTATGGCAGAGGGACAGGCAAATACCAAAGAGAGAGCTGCTGGGATTTCAAAACTCAGAAACCCGGGGCAGTGCTGTGGTGTAGTGGGCTAAGCCTCCACCTGCGGTGCTGGCATCCCATATGGGCACCAGTTTGAGTCTTGTCTACTCCACTTCTGGTCCAGCTCTCTGCTATGGCCTGGGAAAGCAGTGGAAGATGGCCCACATCCTTGGGTCCCTGCACCCATGTGGGAAACCAGGAAGAAGCTCCTGGCTCCTAGGTTCTGATTGGTCCAGATTTGACCGTTGTGGCCATTTGGGAAGTGAATCAGTGGATGGAAGACCTTTCTCTCTGTCTCTCCCTCTCTCTGTCTGTAACTCTACCTATCAAATAAATAAATAAATAAAATCTCAAAAAAAAATCAAACCTCAGAAACCCTAAAGAGGTTGGGTTTTGGGAGTGGCTGGTTACAATCTCACGTAAGTATGAGCGTGCGTGTGCATGAGCGCACGCTGTCATGTGCATACGTGGGTGAGAGCAGTGGGGCAGGGCTTTGGTTGAAAGAGAGTGGGTGGTTTTTTTTTTTAGGCTGACCAGTTGCCAAATTTGACAAAACCTTAGCACACATCATGTGGGTGAAAGGCAACAGGAAAAAAAAATCCCCTTCAGAAAAGCAACCAGCTGCCACAGTGGGAAACTTGATGTGAAAATTGACCTGGTTGAGAGCAGAAGTCCTACTCAGCCTCAAGGTACCTAGCCTACACCAGTTTAGGGAAGTGCTGGACAATGGAGCAGAGTGCCCTGTCATTTATCAGCAGAGATAAAGCTCTCAGCAACCTGGGTGTGCAAATGGAGACCTGCTTGCGGAAAGGATTGATCCAAGTTGTCTCTCATTGTTCCTAGTGTCTCTGTGGAGGTCTTTCTGTTGCCTCTGACCCCAAAGAAGCAATAAATCATCTACATGTGAGCTGAAGGGAGGGTGGGGAGACCCAGACCCTCCATGCTCTTTTTCTCTGGGGGCTGCCCTACCTCAGTTCTCAAACTCAAGTACAGCTATGGAGGTTGAATTAATCCACAGAAAACACAGCTCTGGGGATCATGCCACAGCTGGTTAACCACAGATAAATGAGAAGGGGGAGAAAATGGAAGAAGCCTGAAACACCAGGGGTGGCATTATGGTGCAACAGGATAAGCCACACCTGTGATGCCAGCATAGCATTTTGGAGCACGGGTTGGATAATGGTCCAAGTGCTTGGCCCCTGCCACACATATGGTACACCTGGATGGAGTTCCTGGCTCTGGCCTGGCCCAGTCCCAGCCTTTGCAGCCGTTTGGGGAGTGAGCCAGCAGATGGAGAATCTATTTCATTCATTCATTCATTCTCTCGCTCTCTGCCTTTCAAATAAATAAAATAAACCTTTAAAAACAAAAAAATAAAACCTGAAACACATCGCCTTGTAGTTTTAAATGGCTCCAAAAACAGTTCTTGCTCCAACCCAGAGCCGTTCTCAACTTACAGAGATTCCAGGAAATGTCCCAGACATTTGGTAGAAGGTGGGCAGGGAGGGTCGCCCGATGATGACGCAATTTCTCAAGGCCTCCATCAGCATGGGCTAAAAAGAAATCCATTTAGACAATGTTTTAAGTATTCATTTTAACCTGGTTTCACCTAATGCAAAGATGGGGTTAATCTCATTCTTTATCAGTGAATTCCAAAGCTGCTGCTTTCCCACACTTCCTCTCCAAGGCAAGTACATTTGAAAGTCTCAGGAGACCTTAAAAAGTCTCGCACTAAACCTTTTGAGTCACTTAATCCCCAGATCTTCCATGTTTGGAGATAATTTCTTTTATGAAAAGAAAACCCAACCTGGCCCTATTCCTTTCCCCAACTTGCTAATGGAACAAAGAGGCCTCTCATTAGACTCACCCCTGAGCATGCAGAAATAAGTGGCTTGGAAAGAGCAGGTTTTACTTTAGCCTTGGGATGGTTGGCTGCTGCCTTCCTTGGCTTCCTCTCTTGGCATCTCATCTAAACTCTCCCTGAGTTAGACCCAGTAGGTAGAAACCAGGAGAGACAGGTCCCTAAGACAAAGGAAGGGCTCTGTGATGTTGGGGTTTGCCCAGCCATGGGATGCGCTTCCTTTCCAAGGAACGGGCTGCCCATTCCTGGGAGTGTTTAGAGATGGGACCACCTGTGTGGGGCTGTAGAAGGAGCTCCTTCCACTGGCTGGAAAGTAGGACCAAATGGTTTCAAAGACCCCTTCCAATCTCCTGAATCCGAGACTCACTAACTACAGGAGGGGCTTTCAAGGCACACATGAGAAACTCTTTATTACTTCTCCTTCCTTCCCTCATCACACATGTCTCTCTTCTGGTCCATAATTAGAAGTAAGAACGTTTCACACTTTATTTAAGGCTCCATTTCCCTTTAGCTCACTTCTGTGGGTAATGGTGGAGAAAGCCATTTGCCTGGTTAATCAAAGCCTTCTACTGGCAAAAAAGATATTTTGGCAGTTGCAATAAGAACCTATACTAATAATAGGTTATGTTTATTGAACATTGACTATGTGTCCCTTATGACAATAAAGAATTTACACACATATCATATTTAACCTTCCCAACAGTCAAAAAAGTGAAATATTACTGCTGTCCGGATATTATAACAAAGGAAAGAGATTTAGAGAAATGCTTGCCTAGTATCCAGACTGGAAAACCATGTGCTCTCAGAAAAGAAGCCTTGATTTATCACATTTGTTGATTTCCACACTTTATTTTTTATTTATTTATTTGACAGATAGAGTTAGACAGTGAGAGAGACAGAAAGGTCTTCCTTCCGTGCGTTCACCCCCCAAATGGCCGGCACGGCCGTGCTGCGCCGATCCAAAGCCAGAGCCAGGTGCTTCCTCCTGGTCTCCCATGCCAGTGCAGGGGCCCAAGCACTTGGGCCATTCTCCACTGCCTTCCGGGGGCCACAGCAGAGAGCTGGACTGGAAGAGGAGCAACCAGGACTAGAACCCGGTGCCCATATGGGATGCCAGCACCGCAGGCGGAGGATTAACCAAGTGAGCCACGGGGCCGGCCCCCGATTTCCACGTTTTAAATAGTCATACCAATTTTAAGCTACCAACATGATGTTTCTAAATTTGGAATTGGAAGAACTGTGCAGAGTGGGCACTCAGAAGACTGTATGGGCCAATTCCAATGCCCCAGGCTCTGCACCACTAAGCTAGTCCAGCTTATAATCCTCCTTTCTAACTAATCACTCCTCCTAACTAAAGAGAAGAAGGAACAGCATCCCTCTTGTTGAAGGAGGATGACCTACAATAACTGAAAGAGAAGTCCTGTCAAGATAGCTAAGAAAGCAGAGGGCTGGGGATGGGAAAGGAGTTGAGGAATATGAGTCACATAGAGCTTGTTAATTCTTCTCAAGGTCCCAAATAGTGGCCTCAGTGTAGTCAGGAGCCACAAGGTAGGATCAACTCAGAGCTAATTGTGGTCTTAAAGAGATGGGTAAATCCCAATGCAGAGACCACACCAAGAGGAGTTTTTAAAAAATAAAAAGAGAATAAAGAAAGAAAGAAAAGAAGAACAGAGTGATTGATTTATTTGAAAGAGCAGCAGGGAAAGAGAAGAATCTTCTATCCACTGGTTTACTCCCTAAATGGTTACAACAGCTAGGTCTGGGCCGGGCAAAAGCCAGGAGCCAGGAACTCTATCCTAGTATCCCACTTGGGACATCTTCTGCTGCTTTCCCAGGTGCATTAGCAGAAAACTGGATCAGAGGCAAAGTACCTGGGACTCAAAACAGAGCCAGAATCAATGGGAACCAGTATCACAAATGGCAGCTTAACCTGCTGCACCACAATGCCAGCCCCATTCTAGGCCAGCTGTAGCTATGTCCATTGCTGCCTGTGTATGTTTATTCTAACCCCCCAAAATCTCCCAGTCTCTAATCTCAACCTTTCTTTCTTTAAAAAAAATCTATTGATTTGAGAGGCAAACAGACAGAGCTCTTATCTCTTGGTTCATTCCCCCAAATGCCTACAACAGCTGGGTTTGGGCCAGGCTGAAACCAACAGCCCAGAACTCAATTCCAACTACTTGAGCCATTACCTGCTGCTTCCCAGGGTGTGTGTTAGCAGGAAGCTGGAGTCCGGGGCAGAGCCACATACCAAACCCAGACACTTCCATATGGTGTGTGGGCATCTCAAGAGGCATCTTACCTGCTAGACCAAAAGGCCTCCCCATCCTTTCTTCTGATGCCTAGAGCCAACTCCTTAGGCCAATGTAAACCAGAAGTTTGTACAGTTGTGTGCATATGTGTGTGTGTTGAACCAACAGTTTTAAGTTGAAACATTTCAAATTTAAAAATCAGGACATTCAGGTTCTCAAAAAATGTGAAGATATGACCCAAATTCCTACATAGGGCAATGACAGGTAGTGGCTGATGCTTTTGTTTTTAAGGGAGGGTGCTAGAGATGGAGCAGTGGTGGCAGGGATTGGGGGAGATCTTCCATCTGCTGGTTTATTCCCCCAAATGACACCTAAGGCTTGTCTCCAACAGGGGTGATGGGACCCAAATACTTGGGCCATCTTCTTCTGTCTTCCCAGGTAGATTAGCAGGGAGATGGATCAGAAGCATACTCTGCTAAGGTTCAAACTGGCATTCCAATCTCAGATGACCAGTTTAACCCACTATGCCACAACATAGGTCCCATGGCTGGTGCTTTTTGACAGGGCATGTACCCTCTAGTTCTGCACAGTCCCTACCACTCTCTACTGTCTCGCTCATTTCAATATGTAAGGACTTTCACTTGTATCTTAGACCTAAAAGGCATAATCAAGCCTTTAGATTTAGAAAACTCAAACAAAGCATTACATGACTCTCCCTACACACACAAACAATTCCAACCCTATCCTTCTGATATGGGATAAATAGATAGGAAGTTAATTTAGGATTGTTGAGTGAGAAATCACAAGTCCCCATGTGTAAGTCTATCCTCCTACCTGTCAGTAAAAATGCCCCCTTTCCTGGGATGCCTCTGCTTCATCCCAGACCTAAGAAGAAGATGCCATGAAGATATGGATATTGAGCTCCACATGGAAGTTGTGGAGGTGCTAAATAATTCCCATGAGGATTCACGCCTAGAGGGGTACCAGCCAGACCTCATAAAGGAGGCTAACAACTGGGAGAGGGGTCTCTCCTACTCCAGAAACTAAGGCTGGAGGAGCTCCCAGATGTTCTGTCTCCCTTTTCCTTTCACAGGCAAATCTTCAGGGCCACTGCCCACTCATGATCCATATTTCTCTGTGTAGGATGACCCATGCTCATGTGTGTGTGTATGTGTGTTCACTTTGTCACCTTTTAAATAAGCTAATTCCTTTGTGCATCTTATCTGTGTCAGCACTTAGAATACATATCTTTGTGCATGACAAGTCTGGAGTAAAAATACAAATAGGCCCTTGCCCACATCACTTCTGCTCACATTATGCCCTTGGTAGTGTTAAAGGGCATCTGTCTGAGTGATCAGATCACCACATTTCTGGGAGCACCGTGGCTCTGCCATGGGATATACAGTTCTCTTTAAACACTGACTGCCCATAGGGCCCTAGGCAGCTCCTCTTGTTATATAGCTGCTTGAAGTCACCACCAATAAGCTACCAGTTTAAGGAAAACAATGGCAAGTCTCCACGGAGAACAGTGTGTGTTCACTCAGTGATTTCTTCAAGTCGTGCCCTCCTTCCCAGGTTGACACCATAATTTCTGAGGCAACAGCACACTGAGTCTGTTTGTTGCTGTTCTTCACACCCACAAAGCCACACAGCACCTGCCGCAGAAGCACAGCAAACTTTAACCATCCAACCTCCTGGCAGCGGAATTAGCCAAGCAATGATCACCACATTGTTAATGAAGTGGCTGCTTTGCTATAATGATGGACCAGGGTCACTCTGATTTGCCTCGATTTGTTTCCCAGTCTAACTTTTTCTCTTTGTACAACATTTTGTACAAAGCTGTTTTTTGACTACTATGAAGCTTTATAGAAAAATCACTAACATTCTCATTTTTGTGAAAGAAGACCTTTTGGAGATTCAAGATCTGACTTAAATTTAGGGTTAAACAGATTCCCGGAAGGCCAGTAATAATTTTCCTAAATTGGTATCGAGCTGCAAGACCAAAAGGCTTAGGTTTACTCTCCAAAGTCAATTTTTATCAGCAGGTGTTGGACACAGAGGACTCAGTGAAGGAGGAGTGGGCTGGGTGCGGGGAGGCCAAGCACTGCCTTTCCCACCCAACACCAGCTCGGAAATAGTTGACATCTGATAGCATTGTCTCTTGGAGATTTGTAACCCTCTGCTAGAATTACATGCCCCTTGGGAAATAGCCTCCTTTTCTTTTTAATCGCTTGGGAAAACATTAACTTTGTCCCTTTGAGTATTCTCTCCTACCATCAAGGAAGACTGCACTTTTTTGCTTCCTTTCAAAAAGAAATGTGGTCAGTTTTTTTAAGGGACAAGGGAGGGGTGAGTGATGTACATTCTGAAGTTCATTACTGCCACCTCCCCCTGTCCCCACCATCAGGAAGAGCTCTGTTCCTAAGCTTTCTCCGCTGACTTGGAGCCTGGTTGGGGACATGGTAGAGCTTGCTGTCATACACAGGCACACATACTCAGCAGTAGAGTGAGCAGCAGGAGGTGGCAGGATGCTTGCCACTGTGTGCCTGGATTTGTATGCCTCCTCTCCAAACTGTGGCCAAGGCTCGTTATTCTCTGGGTTAAAGCCAACCTGGTAACTTGGGGACCCTGCCAATGTCTTGACAGCTCCTAAGCCCAGCTCTGTTGCTACAGCCATACAGAAAAGCCATTAATTCTTTGAATAAAGGCTCAATGACTGCTTAGGGAGCCCACAATTTGGTCAGAAGTGGGCTAGCTGGATAGAGGACATCTGGACACTGACTTTAAGAGACCTAAAATGTTTGGGGAAGAGGACATGAGTATGTGTTCTAACATTTAAAAGTTGAATAATGTCACAAGGGATGCCCCTCTAGAAGTACAAAAGTAAATGCCAAATGACCCTTCAGAGAGAACTTGCCGAGCATGGACTGCAGAGGCCAGAGAAAGGGAGACGTGGTGATGTAATGGGGTGAGCCTGTGCTCTGGAGCCTGACAGATCCAGTGCACATGCTCCATGTGATCGAAGACGCTTCTGCACTCTCACCAGACCTCGCTTTCTTACCCTGGATTAGTGGTGACAGAACCTGCAACACCTTGCAGAGTTGTTAAGGGGATTATCGAGGGTCAGCAAGCACTCAATACATCAGCTTTGTTTTCAGATTTTTTTTTTTAATTTGTGAAACAGATAGAGAGTAACTTCCCAAATGCTCCCCAAATGTAGGAACCAGGAATTCAAACAAGGTCTTCCACGTGGGTGGCAGGGGCCCAACTCCTGGACCCATCATTTCAGGGTTCACATTAGCAGGAAGCTGGAATCAGCGTAGAGCCGGTACTCAAACTCAGGCACTCCCAATACGGGAGGTGGTGTCCCAAGCAGTTGAATCTTAACGGCTACACCAAATGCCCACCCCTATTCATTTTATAAAGTACATCATACAGCAGTTGAGAGTAAGAAATTAGGTAGGATTAGCTCAGGGAAAAATAAACAGAGCTCGTTCCTTGAAACGTAAAAAAAGAGGACTGTTAGGGAAAAGGTCATCAAATCTAGTAGAAATATCTAAGTGGATACTTCAGGAAGTGAAAGAATATGAGAAGAAGGACATTTTAGCTCCTTTTTCTTTTGTCATAAAACTTATTGGGCGGCTGGTGCTCTGTCATACTAGGTTAAGCCTCTGCCTGCAGCACCAGTATCCCGGATGGGCACTGGTTCAAGTCCCAGCTGCTTCACTTCCAAACCAACTCTCTGCTAATGTGCCTGGGAAGGCAGTGGAGAATAGCCCAAGTGCTTAGGCCCCTGTACCTGCATGGGAGACCCAGAGGAGGCACCTCCGGGCTTCTGGCTTCAGTTTGGCCCAGCTCCAACCATTGCTGACATTTGGGGAGTAGAACCAGCGGAGGGAGGACCTCTCTCGCTGTCTCTCCATCTCTTTCTCTGTAACTCTGCCTTTCAAATAAATCTTTAAAAAAAAAAAAGGAACTCATTGACATTTTTCCTGAATGTGAAAATGCTTCATGTCTATTACAGAGAATTTGGAAAGCATAGAAAAGTGCAAGGAAGAAAATAAAAAGCCAATATAATTCCCCACCCAGTGGAAACTGCTAAAGAAATTGTGGCTTTCCTCCCAATCTTGTCCTACTGCATATTTCAACCTCAGATACACACAATTTTGAATCCTACTTTTTACATTTAATGTTTCCTAAGTATTTTCCCATATCAATAAAAATTCTCCACAAGCACCATTTGCAGTGTCCACACAAAATTCCACATATGGATGCATAGAAACACTTTCAACTCTTCCAGTAAACAGTGGACATTTAGGGCTACACAGCTATTTCACCATCATAAATAATGCTTCCACAAGTATCTTTGTAGCACAAGCCCTGTTTCCTTAGGGTAAGTTCTTAAAGGTAAACTGCTGTTCCAAGCTCCCTACTGAATACAAAATGTGTAACAGGGAGACTGTCCCAACCCCCATTCCCACCAGTGACAAGTGAGAGACAGCTGGTCTTTTCAAATCTGGAAAACAAATATTATCTTTAAAAAAATGTTTTTGGCTAATTTGATAGACAACAAACAGCATTTCATTGTTCTTTTAATTACTGGTTTCCTTCCAGCAGATATACCTAAAAGGATCTACAAGGAGTCTTCAGATAAACAAAGGAGCTTTCTTTTGTCTGCCAACAATCAACAAATATTTATTATGCAACTAATTTTCTTCCAAATGTCTCTTGTGGAGCAGGTTTAAGGGAGTCCGCCCAATGGTTTTAGCCATTGTGAAGAGAGGAGTTTTGAAGTCCAAATGCAACTAATACTCAGGATAAAACCGACTTGTGAACAGCAAATCATGGCAACCGGGCTGAAATTCGAGTCCATGTATGCAAATATGAAAATCCTGGGGTTGTAGTAATGATTTGGTAAAATAACAGCACTCTTCAAAGTTTCTGGAAAATTCTACATAATGCGATTCCACGAGTAGTTTCATCTAGACAGGAGTGTGTGTCCTAATGCGGCGGTCTCTGAGCTTACTACTTTCAGCTTTCCCGTTGGGGTGCAAGTGCTGACTCTACCGACAAATAGGAAAGAGGAAAACCACGCTGCTCTCAGCCTGCGCGCTAGCTCTGGAACACCCCAGGCTGCAAGCTTTTATCTTTCGATAAGGAAGGAGGTAGTGTTTATGGTCCAGTCTGGGCAATCCCTCTCCTAGGGACCCACCCCGGGTGGAGGGAGTCTGTTGTCTGGATCGGCGCAACCGTGGCTCGCGCCGCCCGACGCTCCCACCTCGGTCTCAGTTGTCACTCCTGCGGCCTCCCGCCTGCGGTCGCGTACTTTCTCGGCTCCGCCCCACCCAGGCACGGCGCCGGCGGCAAGTGACGCGGGGCTGGAAGGCACTGTCTGGGCGCCCACCGCAAACCCCATCCCGTCTGCGATTGCTTTAACCGTCCAGTCCTCATCCCTTGCCCCGTCCAGCTCTACAGCCCGAATTGTCATCTGTGCCCACGCTTGTCCCCAGCGCAGAAGACGCCAGAACTGAGGGTCTGGGGCCGGAGCTGGGGAGGAGGGGAACGGTTCAGGCCGACTTTTGCTGTTTAAACCGTTTCTGCTGTTTCCTGGGGGTGCGGGCGTCTGGCCCGCGGCTGGATCTGCAGAGCCTGCAACAGTGCGCGGCTCGCAGGCCGACCTCGATAGGTATCAGTTGACCAAATGGACCTCTGTCATGAAAACTCACAGAGCGGTATGGGGATAACGAGTGATTCTGTACAAGTTCAAAATGCCATAGACTCCACATTTCTTTTCTAATAAAGCACCCTTTCATAATTTTTAAAGCACCATTCATGCAACTGGGAGCCACCACTGGATATTCCTGCAGGAATACGCATCTTCTTCCCCATCACAGTCTCCGTAATTATGACAACCCCTAGCTTCCCCGGTGTTATTATTGCGAACGTGCACGGAGAGCTGTGCTCCGACGGAGGGAACTTGCCTCACCTTCTAAGCGGATTCTTAACTGCTCAAAAAGCGGAGAGTGGAGTCAGGTGCTTGGCCCCACTTCCAACATTGCCGCCTACTGGTTGGGTCACTCCCTCAAGTCTCCTCCCCGCCCTGCGCATCGGGGGTCTCCAAGTGTTAGTTAGCATTTCCAGGTGTGAAAATCCATCCACGTGAGCAAGGATGGATGCGCCACGCCCGGACGCGTCCCAGCCAAAGCTTCCCGCCTCGCTCCAGGGACATCGTGCTTTCCCCAAATTCGAGAATGCCTCCGCGATGGCCCACCGGGCGCAGGGACCAGGACGCGATCAACCCCCTAAGAGCCTTCAGTCGGCGGCTTCCGAAGGGGGCACGCTGCCCCCGAGCCCTTGTGTGTTCCTCCTGGTGGCCCGCGCTTCTCCCCCACCCTGCCTTTCCCCTCCCCTCCCGGCCCCGCCCGCCTGCCCACCCGCTCTGCGCATGCGCTGCTCTGGGAGCGTGTTTTTATAAAAGTCCAGCTTCGGTCAGAAACTTCAGTTGTTGGCTGCGGCAGCAGGTAGCAAAGTGTCCTCGAGGACTTGGGTGCTCCGGTAGCCACCGCGGCTGGAGAGCGAGCAGTCACCATGGAAGGGATCAGTGTAAGTCCAGTTTCAACCTGTTTTGTCCTAAACGTGCCCACGCTTGAACTTAGAGCGCAGCCACTTTCTGAGCGGGCAGAAGAGACTAGAACGTTGGAAGTGCCAGTGCACGGGCAGTTTTCGTGATTATAGCCAGGTGGGGGTAGGACTTGGGATCTTCTTTGTAAGCAGAGAAAAGCTTGGAAACGGAGCGTTGGGTGGCTGCGTGTGTCCCACTCAACCCCTTGAGTCTTGGGGCGCGCGCCGGTTTTCGAGCTGTTTGCAAACATAACAACATTCGGTGCACAAGTGCACCGAAGTAGCGCGCGCGGCGCCAGCGCTCAGACCCTCGGTCTCTTCTTGAGAGCAAGGTTTTCTCGGAGCAAGTTAGGTTATCAGAATTTGGAGGTGGAGGGGATCGCGCCTGGGCTGAATAACCCAGATGAGACTGCCTTCTTGGTTAACTTCTGGCAAAGGATCGGGTGGACCGTTCTTGCCGTTGGGCACTTGCTTGCTAAACTCTTGGCCACCCGCGGAACTGTGCCAGTGCCAGTGCCCGGGCTCGGTGGGCAGAGGGCGGGAAAGAAAGGCGGCCCTTCCGCGCCAATTGCCTGAGCGGTCTGAGTGGTGGCAGCAGCTGGGAGGCGGCCGGTTTTGTAGCCTGAGCGCCTTGGGACCGAGGCGCAGACGTAGCGGGCGTCGGAGGCGCGTAGCCCTTCCCTGGCTGCGAATGGGCCCCGAGGTTTAGGGATCGTGCAGAGCCCAGAGGGTTGTGTGGGAGACACCGTGCAGCCGCTAACGGCGAAGGCGAAGCGTTGCGCGGCTGGGACTTAGCGCGGGAGGGTGTTGGGTCCGCACCTGGGCTGCCCGGCCGCCGCGGCGAAGACAAGCAGGTGCAAGTGGAGAGACCGTTTGGCTCTCGCCGAGCCCAATTGCGGTGTTTAACCGTCGGTGGTTTCCTGAAGCCTTTTGAAACCGGCTCTCTACGGACGCTTTTCGTTTCCTTTCGCGGCGCGCAATTCAAAGGCGCTCGCCGCGGAGCCGCCCAGTCTCTCCAGCACCCTGCGGAACAAGCCCGGCGCGCAGCCGGGCAGAGCCCCTGGGACCAATGCCCACCAGCAGTGGGCATGGTATGCAGCCGCGGCCTCCCAGCGCTGGGGCGACCAGGTCCCCGGCGTGCCCGCCGCCAGGAGGCTTCCAGCTGCCCACCTCGGAGCCCATTTACACTGGATCCGTGGCGGGGTTGGGAAGCCAGGCGGGAGAGTGAGGAAATGAAACTTGGGGCAGGACCACGGGGTGCGGACCCCGTGACTTTCCCCACCCAGGAAAATGCCGCGCTCCCTAACCTCCCGAACCCGCCAAATGATAAACAGGAGCCTGGCAAAAGATCCACGCCCGCGATGAGTGCCCTCTTGGGTTAGGGGGTGCCGTTGGCTGGCCTGACGCGAGCCCTCAGTACCCCAAGCTCCAAAGGGCCTTCGCTTTAAGCCCGCCTTCTCTTATCCCACTGTGAGTTGCTGGAAGCATTGGGTTGGGTTTGGACAGGCGTGGGAAAAACGTTTTGTGCCTTTGGAGAGAGAGTCTTTGGGACACCCCAGGGCCTCTCCCTCCTCTTTCTTGTTCTAGCGAATCTTACAAAAAGTTAATCCCAGCTCCTACCCCCACCCAACGTTAGATTCCACCCCTACACCACCCAGACACCCATGCCGCCTGGGAGTGGCCTCTTTGTGTTTGTAGGTTTTTTTCCTCCCCCTCCTAAGGTTGTATTCCTCCCTCTAGTGGGCGGGGCAGAAGAGTTAGCCAAGATGTGACTTTGAAACCCTCAGAATCTCAGTGCCCTTTTGTTCTTAACAAAAAATCTTGTAATTGGTTCCAGTAAAGAGGGATATAATGAAGTGACTCTGGGGAAAGATGGGAAAGAGGGGCTGCAGGATTCTACGATAATTCTCTTGTACCCTTGCCCCAGGACTTCAGAATTGCCTGCAGAAAGCTAGCCTGCCGTGAGTGTTATGCATTCTTGTTTAAGACGTAAACGTTCTCTACAGCTCGAGCATGGTGAACAATTGCTGAACATGGAAATGAACGTGCCTTCCTTTGCCTCTCTTGCAGATTTACACTTCAGACAACTACACGGAGGAATTGGGCTCAGGGGACTATGACTCCATAAAGGAGCCCTGCTTCCGGGAGGAAAACGCCCATTTCAACCGCATCTTCCTGCCCACCATCTACTCCATCATCTTCTTGACTGGCATAGTGGGCAATGGGCTGGTCATCTTGGTCATGGGTTACCAGAAGAAGCAGAGAAGCATGACAGACAAGTACAGGCTGCACCTGTCGGTGGCCGATCTCCTGTTTGTCATCACGCTTCCCTTCTGGGCAGTGGATGCTGTGGCGAATTGGTACTTCGGGAAGTTCCTGTGCAAAGCTGTCCATGTCATCTACACAGTCAACCTCTATAGCAGTGTCCTCATCCTGGCCTTCATCAGTCTGGATCGGTACCTGGCCATCGTCCATGCCACTAACAGTCAGAAGCCAAGGAAGCTATTGGCTGAGAAGGTGGTCTACGTCGGTGTCTGGATTCCTGCTCTCCTGCTGACTATTCCCGATTTCATCTTTGCCAATGTCAGAGAGGCAGAGGGGAGGTACATCTGTGACCGCTTCTACCCCAGTGACCTGTGGGTGGTTGTGTTCCAGTTTCAGCACATCATGGTTGGCCTTATCCTGCCGGGTATCGTCATCCTGTCCTGCTATTGCATAATCATCTCCAAGCTGTCACACTCCAAGGGCCACCAGAAGCGCAAGGCCCTCAAGACCACTGTCATCCTCATCCTGGCCTTCTTCGCCTGCTGGCTGCCCTACTACATTGGGATCAGCATCGACTCATTCATCCTCCTGGAAATCATCAAGCAAGGATGTGAGTTTGAGAACACTGTGCACAAATGGATTTCTATCACCGAGGCCCTAGCCTTTTTCCACTGTTGTCTCAATCCCATCTTGTATGCCTTCCTCGGGGCCAAATTTAAAACCTCTGCTCAGCACGCACTCACCTCTGTGAGCAGAGGGTCCAGCCTCAAGATTCTCTCCAAAGGAAAGCGGGGTGGACATTCTTCTGTTTCAACCGAGTCTGAATCTTCAAGTTTTCACTCCAGCTAACGCTGATGGGAAAGACTTTTTTTTATACATATATATATATATATAAAGAACTTTTTTTAAGTTACACATTTTTCAAATATAAAAGACTGACCAACACTGTACAGTTTTTATTGCCTGTTGGACTTTTGTCTTGTGTTTCTTTAGTTTTTGTGAGGTTTAATTGACTTATTTATATAAATATTTTGTTTCATGTTGATGAGCGTCTAGGCAGGACCTGTGGCCAAGTTCTTAGTTGCTGTGTGTCTGGTTGTAGGA